GGGGGGGGGGGGGGAGAAAGTCACTGTTGAGCTTCATCTTCAATGAGAGGCTGCGACAGAGAAATGCAGCTTTTCCCGACGTGGCTTGGGTTTTTGACACTTTGCTCTCGGAGTCAAAGGCAGACAGTGTTGATATATGTAGTCATATAAATAACAAACAGTACAGTATAAATATAAAGATCTGCGTGTGTGTGTGTGTGTGTGTGTGTGTGTGTGTGTGTGTGTGTGTGTGTGTGTGTGTGTGTGTGTGTGTGTGTGTGTGTGCACGCACAGTACAGTGAATGGTTCACTGTACTGTGCGTGCACACACACACACACACACACACACACACACACACACACACACACACACACACACACACACACACACACACACACACACNTTGGAGTCCCTGTTTGGCCGTAGTCGGTTACTGCATGGCAGCATTTTGTTATCTTGGTCCCAGCTCTCTGCAGTCTGGCAATAGGTCCCCCCCGGTGTGGTTCTGGGATTTTTGCCACCGCTTCTTGTGATCATTTTGACCCCGGGCGTGAGATCTTGCGTTGGAAGCCCCAGATCGAGGCGAGATTATCAGTGGTCTTGCTAGTGTCTTCCATTTCTAATAATTGCCTCCCACGTTGATTTTCTCATCCCAAGCTGCTTCCCTATTTGCTAGATTCAGTCTTCCCAGCCTTGTGCAACGGTCTACCATTTTGTTTTCTGGTGTTCCTTTGGACAGCTCTTTGGTCTTGGCCATAGTGGAGTTTTGGAGTGTTGATGTTTGAGTTTTGTTGCGAGTTCAAACAGGGCTGCGCATTAATACAGTTAACACAGGTGGGAGGACAGAGGAGGGCTCTAAGAAGAAGTTACAGGTCTGTGGATAGCCCAGCAATCTTGGTTGATTTGCTAGATGACCAAAACTATTTACCACCATAATTTGCAAATAAATTCTTAAAATCAGACAATGGTCATTTTTTTCGGATTTCTGCGATTTTGTTTTTTCTCATTCTGTCTCTCATAGTTGAGGTATACCTAGGATGAAAATTACAGGCCTCTCATCTTTTTAAGTGGGAGAACTTGCACAATTGGTGACTAACTAAATACTTTTTTGCCCCACTGTATATCAAACTTTTGTAACTTTATAAAACAGCGACCATTAACGCTCCATCGACTCTGTCTGGTTGACATCCAGACAGCAGTGTATTTGTATTAGACGCGTATCCTGATTTGAACCATGGTTGTTGACAAGCTAGCAGACAGATGTCTATTGTAGAGGAGCACATCCTCACTGCTAATGTTGCTTTGTATGCTAAATAGCTTGCAGAGCCCCATTATGTCAGTTGTCAATACAGTATATAGTATTTGTCATATTTAGGTAATGATTATTTGTTATAATAGTCTTAAAATATTTTTTTAGAATAGTGTCCTGTCATTATGTCCTATTTTTATTTTATTTACTTATGCTACTTACTCTTCGTTTCTATGTCTTTGTATGAACCACATATACCAAAGCAAATTCTTCATATGTGTAAACCTACTTGGTCATAAAAACCGGTTCTGATTATTTCCTTAAAACACAAAAAATATATCATCACAAGAGAACCACATTTAATCCAATAAATCCTCTAAATCAAATTAGGATTTTTAAAACATTAATTAAAATACTTCCTTTCAAAATTCATGTTATTAATAACACATCTGAACATCAGGTTTTATTTTGTTTACAAAACATTTCCATTAAAAAAAGTAATGTTGTGCTTTCTGTCTTAGTATTTATTTTAAATGTTGTATTTGTTCTATTTTTCTGCTGATACAATGACCTAGTTTCTGCTGAATTCCCACACAAATGGCTGTTAAATAAAGTTAAAATGGCTGACACTCCCTGATGACCCAGTTTTCTGTGGTGTCCTCCAGTATCATGCAGGTGTTGGGGGCCTTCCCCTCCCCCAGCGGGCCCGCCTCCACCTGCAGCCTGCTGAATGAAGACACCCTGATCCGCTACGCCAGACTCAGCGCCACCGGAGCCAGCAACTTCCGCTACTTCGTCCTGGACAACTCGGTCATCCTCGCCATGCTGGAGCAACCCCTCGGCAACGAGCAGAGTCAGTACCCTTTGACCTTACACCAGTTTATTGAGATATAGGATGGTTAATTGGTTCATATTTTATTGTACGAGTAAAGACTGTCATTAAAGTAAAATAAATGACTGTGTCTCCTCAGACCCGAGTCCATCAGTGACGGTTCTGATCCGAGGCACGGCAGGCAGACATGCCTGGACCATGCAGCTCTTCCACCAACCCAGAGGAGCTCGGGCCAATCAGAGGGTGAGAACTACCTGTAGTTTACTGCATCATGATAGACAACATCGCCAATACTAAACCAGGACTAAGAGATGCAACAATTGCTTATATTTGTCAGATTTCTTGTCCAACCTGCAAATTCCCATTTTTTGCTGTAATTGACAGAATTTGAAATACAATTGACAGCGTATACAAACTTTTGTGTGGCTGTTTTTTCTTTGAAAATCTAATTTACTTTAAATTAAATTACACTTACATGTTCTGTAAAACTGCACCAAGTTAAACTTTCTCTCACTCTTACACATTTCAAAATATAATTGCTTCAAGGTCCCTTGAGAAATATAATCCAATCAAAATAAATCACAGATTATCCTACCCTAACAGGTTTACCTTGCCAAAATAAAGGACGTAAAACATATTAATATAGAAAAACAAAGCACATTTTTCAACTGTTTCTTGCAGTGTGGGTAGTGTGTGCAAATAAACAATATCCAGCTGTTTTCATGTTACCGGCTTGGCGATAACTACTAACCAACGATACGTAGCCTGTAGAAAATAGGCAGTTTCCATTTGAATATTTTTAAACATTTCACTCGTTCTATAGAGCTTCCATACTAACAGCATGGCTAGTATGTGTGGCTGTTACTGTCTGGGATGCCGTGTTTGCGACATATACACATCATTCGGCACATGTAGGTACATTTGACCACCAAACAAATCTGAAATAGGACATTGGTGACTGATCAATTGCTGCAACTGAAATGTTGTTAAAATGACTGCTTGAGTGTTTCTGTTGTAAAAACTCCACATCTGTTCATTTGATAACACAACCCCGCTCCATATATCTCCTCTCCTCCTCCTGCAGCAGGTGTTTGTTCCAGAGGGCCGTCCAAAACCCAACAACGGTGTGGGCATCAAGTACAACGTGAAGCAGAGGCCCTTCCCCGAAGAGGTGGATAAGATTCCTCTGGTCAAAGCGGACGTCAGTATTCCTGACTTGGATGACATTGTCAGTAAAGAGGTGAGATCCGCTTCCTGCTGAACCATGTCATTGATATTGTATCCACATAATTCATCAATATAGGATTAAATTCTACTTCGGGCACAAGCTGAAACAAGTTTGATGTCATGGATATAAATACCACTATAGACTAAATTGATCCCTCATATGATGTGTTATCATACAAACTCAGGTGGGTTGTATGGGCTGGCTGGATGAATCAAGAGCTACAAATGCTCTGATCAGTCATTTCCCACACGTGAGTTGTTGGAGAGATGAAGTTTCATTTTGGTGTCTCTTGGGGGGAAAAAGGGTAAAATTAACTGGTTTGGTGGAAGAGATGCAATGATTTTAGATGATAACCCTAACCCTGTTTCTCAATCCAATTCAACAACCTTGCAATCATTTAAGCTTTTAATTTAAGACCACAGTGTGAAAAGTGACAACAGAGATGAATCAATACCACTTCTCAAAGATGAAAGCTTAGAAAATAGGGAATTTTTGCAGAGATATTGTACTTGGAAAAAACAGCTACCGTAACCTCGATCGAATCCAATCGATCGAGGTTACGGTAGCTGTTTTTTCCAATAAAATGTTTGATACTAATGTTTAAAGCACGGGTGCACACTTTTATTGACTTTAGAAGGTAACACTTCAGTGTTTGGGCTGGGTCTTCATGGGTTAATGCTGAATGTGTCCAATCAGGTTTCATGAGCAACAGCGTCATTAAAACCGTCTCAAAATCTGTCTTAAAATGTGGCCACCCCCTTCTTCTTCTTCTCCGTTAGCTGGAACTGCAACATGACAAGCTCCGGGCTCTTATGACAAAGCAGATGGAGTACGAGAACTCCCTGGAGCGACACGGCGAGGAGATCTGGAAGTCCAAGCCTTACCCCGACCCTCAGACGGAATGCAAACCCCCGTACCCCGCGCAGGAGTTCCAAACAGCTCGCCTCTTCCTCTCACACTTCGGCTTTCTGTCCCTGGAGGCGCTCAAGGTCGGTACAGGATTGGTTGATGAGAAAAAAAGTCCTCCACCAATATGTTACTTTTGCATTTTAACTCTATTCAAGCCTGTGGTCTATTGAAAATGATAGTGTTCTGTATACATATATATATATATATATATATATATATATATATATATAACCGTAATTTTCGGACTATAAGGCGCACCTGAATATAAGCCGCAGCAGCTAAATTGAATGATGTGTACATATATAAGCCGCACTGGACTATAAGCCGCAGGTGTTTTAATGTTTAATTACCATAAGGGTTCTTGCACAGAGGGGATTGTCGGGAAAGAGATGGCTGTTTGAGGAAACTCCAATTTATTAACATTTCAACAAACAAGTTGCATATTTGCATAACGTATTCAAGTGTTACCATTTAGTGCAATAGTAGCTACAGAACATGTACTGTGCTGTGTAAACTGTACTGTATCACATTGCGTTTCAGACACACAAACTTTTCAAATTTCAAACTTCAACGGTGCGCTCCCAGCGCACGTACCGGCAGTGATCTACAGCAGCGGTTTTCAACCAGTGGTACGGGGACAAACTGTCTCGCTCTCGTAATGTCTGTCTGTCTTGCTCTCGTTCTGTCTCTCGTACCACTCTCGGTTCCACTTTTAAATTTGCGCGCTACCTGTCTCACTCTTTTCCGGCCTCCAGCTTTTCCTGCCTCCAGCTTTTCCTGCTGGAGCCCGCCGCTTAAAGGTGGGGGGCGCAGACCGGCCATAGAGCCCATAGAGTTAAAGGTGGTGGACTGTAACCTGTAAAATCCATAGATTTAGGAGGTCCCCTAGTGGCCGTTAGCTGTAAACATCCATAGATTAGCCGCACCATTATATAAGCCGCAGGGTCGAAAAATGGGAAAAAAGGCGCGGCTTATAGTCCGAAAATTACGGTATATACATTTATAGGATTGTTATTAGTGTTCATTTAGAATTTATGTTTATTTGTGTATTATTAATAGGAGCCCAACAACAGTCGTCTACCTCCTCATCTGATTGGCCTGGAGTCTTCGTTGCCTGGGTTTTTTGATGACATAAGCTACCTAGACCTGCTTCCATGCCGACCGTTTGACACCGTCTTTATTTTCTATGTGAGGGCTGGACAGAAAAGCTGCCCGGAGGTAAGGGGACTCCCCACGGATTAATTAAACAGTAAACTGTAAATGACCGGGACGTTTGGCAAATATTTACATTGCATTATATTTGGCTGACATTTGTATCCAATTTTACTTTCATTAAGTACATTCAACTATGAGAAAACAAACTCAAAAGTTAAAATATGACTTTCTGCTGCCCTTTTCATTACTTTTAATAAAATTAGGCCCCGTGAAAACGTGTAGATGTTGAAACTAAGTATTTGGTACATTTCAGATCCTAAAGAATGTGGAGTCGTCGTCCAGCGTCCAGCCCCACTTCTTGGAGTTCCTGCTGTCCTTGGGCTGGCCTGTGGACGTGGGACGCCACCCTGGCTGGACGGGACACCTGGACACCAGCTGGTCCCTGAACTCCTGCTCCGACAGCACTGATTTCCAACAAACGGGTAATGCACATAATTGCCATTTATCTAAATGTTGGATTTTTGCAGTAACTAAGACAATGCTAACTTTACATTTTTGTTGACACTGTAGAGGACGCAGCTACTCCCGAGGACACAGGAGGCTCCATGTTCAACGGGGAGAAGAAAGTTTTGTACTATGCTGATGCTCTGACAGAGATTGCCTTCGTTGTTCCTTCGTTATCGGAAAGTTCTGGTCAGTATTCACTACTACTCTGCATATTGGCATTAAAATATGTTAGAATAAAAAAACAAAATCTGAAGAAACACCAACCAACTCAGTAAAGAACTTGAAATGTTGACTTTATTTGATTATTTTACACTATTGACTTCATAGTTTGCCTTATGGTTTAAATGATTGTCAATATCAACACATATAAGCATTTTGGAAAGATATGGAGGATGAAAAATGCTTAAAAAGAAAGGTAAATTACATAATTTGAGGATGTTGGTGACCACCTGTTTCTAGGAACGGCCAAATGGTTCGTCACTTCGAACGTTGGGGATACTAGGAATTGTGGGAGAGCATTATCTGCTCTCCTTTCGTAAAGATAGTCCAATGTATCCTATACTAAAGGAGATTATATAGGAAGCATTGAAGCTTCTTTCCTTATCATTTATTTATTCAAACAGATCATATAATGGCAGCCACTTAGATTACGTTTTTTTAATCTTTTGCACAACAAAAAAAAATGCACCTACCTAACTAGGATAGGTAGATAGAACAGTGTGGGATATCAAATAAACAAGAGTTGACAGAGTTGTTGTTTGTTCCCTTGATGTTCCTCAGAGGAGTCGTCGGTGCACAGCGACTCCACCGTGGAGGCGGACACTAATGCAGACATTGTGCCCGGGTCACTCAAACAACCCAATCTCACACTGGAGCTGTTCCCCAACCATTCAGAAAACCTGGAGTCTGCCAAAAAGGTAATACTAGTGTATCTGAACTATATACTGATAAGAATGTCTAGTTGCTTTATGTTGCTTAAACTCACTGATTTTTGTGCTATTTCTGCAGCTGAGTCCTTTGGTGAAGTCGAAGAGGTCGTCCACTGGAAAGTCTTTCCCACCTCTGGGTCCCGAGACCAAGGTGTTTGTGGTCTGGGTGGAGCGCTTTGATGATATCGGTAGGAAAAAACTCTTCTTCCTACATTTTTCATATTGTTTGATCATTATTGTTATATACATGTAATACATTGTAGTTAGGGCTGCTCAATTAATCGTATTTAAATTGCAATTACGATTTTGGCTTGCAACGATTATGAAAACAACATAATCAAAATAAAACGATTATTTATTTATTTTATTTTATTTATTTTTTTCAGTTGAATTATACTTAAAGTTCAGGGTAATCAACTGTTAAAAACATACTGTTCAAATTTTTTTTTCAATAAATGGATGTTTTCAAAGTAAATGGATAATCGTTTTTAATAATCGTGATATCAATTATTGACCCAAATAATCGAGATTATGATTTTTGCCATAATCGAGCAGCCCTAATCGTAGTACAATGTGGACAGTTGTACTTATTTTGTTCATACAAATATTTATATTATTTTTATTTTATAGTGGAGCAACTGTTATGAGATGCAATTTTTTAAATATAAAAGAATTAACTCAAACATAAGAAATAGGCTCTGTAGCCTTACAATGTGCCTGTATAAAAAGACATTTCTTAAGTGTATGGCTAATGGATCAAGTGACATGAACGTCATTGTGTTTTTAGAGAACTTCCCTCTGTCTGACCTCTTGGCGGAAACCAGCACGGGCTTGGAGGGGAGCATGAGCAACAGCACTTCCTGCAGGTATACAGGCGCTCGCAAACACAACACTTTGCAGACAGAAAGGAGAACATATGGTTTCTGAATTGGTTTCTGCCAGGTGTAAAAGAAGTAAAGGAAAAAAAAGCATTTCCGCAAAATCACACTGTGTGTACTGTACATGCAGGATAAGAAGCAAAGAGTGCAAAACAGGAAGTACATGCAGTGTGTGCAGAAGAAGGAAGTGTGAAGTAGCTTCGAAAACGATTCAGTTTTTGTGAAACATGAATAATATGTAGGTTGTTTTAGTTAAGGTTGAGATAAAATGCAACTTTAAAGACGTTTAGGGTGCATTCACACCTAATAGTCCGCTTCTCTGTTTGCACCAGACGACAGTTTATTACATTGTTTCATTTTTCAGAAGGTTCGGTTTGCGTTCACACAGCAAAACTCAAACGGACTATACACTTTAAACACAAGTCATGTGCACGCAAATGCTGTTCAACCATTGGTCAGACATTAAGGGGGTAACAACGCAAATCCCGGCAATTTCTACCGGAGCCTCCACCATGGAGCATCGGCACTTTAGGCTGGTTATTCTCATGCTGCTGTTAATCTGGAGATCAACAGACATAGCGGCCCGCGCATATGATTATATAATCAGACAACGTCCGTTAAAAAACATTATAACATAATGAGAGACGTTGTGCAGTAAGTAGAGGCGTTTCAGGTGTTCTTACTTTTATGTAGTTGACGGAGAATTTTTACTATACACGACACTGTTCAACACTTAATTCTGATTCACTCTTTAAATGAACAACCGCGGATGTCTTGAAAGACTCTTTCGCTAAAGATTTTAAAGATATCCGCGTTCTTGTGACACGTAAATACTACGCTTCCTATGTTTTGGTGCGGACTGCGTTCACACCAGCAATGAACCGCTCCAGACAGAGTTCGCAAGCAAGCGCTCCGAGACCACCTATTTTAACGGACCAGAGTCCGGTTGTTTAGTTCACTTCAGAGGTCTCGGACTGCGTTCACACCAACACAAATGAACCGCATCAGGGTTCGATTCAACCGGACTATACAAGGCAGTTGTGAACGCACCAAAGGCTGGTGTGAATGCACCCTTAGACTTCAAGTAATAACATTGAAATGACCTAGGACCACAGTCCACAAACCTCAGACTGAATTAACTGGACTGAGAACTCAAGGGCTCCCTCTTCTTAAATTCCAATGGGGTTTTTCCATTAGATTTTGGAATGTTGCAGGAAATAAGATCTGTGGCAATGCAGGTTTATTGTACTTAGATGTTTTGTTCAGCAGTCACTGTGTGGTAATGTAATCTCTAGAAGTAAAAAGCTAACGTTAGGCTATAACCGTGCTACATCACGTCACCACTGCTAAGCTAAAGGCAGATCGTCTTTGGCATGACGACGTCTCATTTAGCCACTTGTTAGATTGTTTGGCACAAAGAGGCTTCAGATATTCAACAATGGGGTATTCACTGACATATTTTATGTGGTAAAAATCTCTTGAGCTTGTGTCACCAGACCTTATTTCAGGCATCTAACCAAAAACATTTTCAAAAAACCATTGACCTTGAGACAAGGGAAACTGAAGTGGAGGAATGCTAACTTATATCCGGGTTTTAAGACTTATTCCTGCACCGCTCTTATTGTTTTTGAATGTGGAGTGTTAATATATTAGCACCTTAGTCAAGAAACGTGTTCCTTGCAAGTATAAATGGTATTGGCATTGGGTTTTGTATCGTCCATCATCGCCCTGTAATTTCTCCTGCTGCAGGTCAGGGTTACTGGAAAAGGACGTTCCTCTGATCTTCATCCAACCTCTGAAGACGGGACTCTTCAGGATGCGGCTGCATGGAGCTGTGGGTAAATTCGGCATGGTGATTCCCCTGGTGGACGGCATGGTGGTCAGCCGCAGAGCACTAGGTAACAACTCTCTTTATCTATCTCTAACGTGTTCTTTTTAATCCCAACATTAACTTGAGCCAGCATAAACGAGCTTCTGTCGGTAAATTCAACTGAAAAAGCCTTTGGAAATGTTATTGGTCAGCAATAGTTGGTTAATAATAATAATAATAAGTTAAATATGTTACAGCATTCATATCCCCTATGCTGCAACAAACATTTACCATGAAAAAGCCATTCCATGCATGTCATTTAATTTGTTGCCAGCAGATGGCAAAGTTGGACGCTTTTTTAAAGAAGCCCTATTGCGTTTTCCCTTTCCTATAGCAGCGTGTTCTATAGCTTTGTGTGGTCTGCAAAGGCTAAAATCCAAAAGTTCCCTACAGAGAGAGTCTCTCTCCCACACACTCCACCCCTGCCTGAAACAGCTCCATTGGAATCCTTTGTCTCCGTCACTTAATGACATTGGTCAACTGCTTTGCGAGTGTTATATAGCAATCACAACAGTAAAGCACGTTAAAATGTCACAGTAGAGGCATAACATACACATATGAACCAGAAATAAGCATAATTTGTCCTTTTTGAATGTTTTTTCTTGCTTTTAAAAACACTACAGGGTGTCCGCGGGGTCTTAAAAAGTATTAGAAGTTGATAAATCAATTTAGCGAAAATGAAGGCTATTAAAAAGTATTAAACGGTATTTTCCAAGGTATTACATTTTGTAGCTTGTTTTCAATAAGTATATAAATTGTCCAAAGAGGTTGTATTCTACAGTGTGCCTGAATGTAATCATTGCGTAGGTGTGTAGTGTGATTCTGTGTAGTTTATTTATGGCATCCCGTTGGATTTGACGTCATGTGAACAGGACATCGCACGCTCACTGCTTGATAGCGCGCGAAGGTCCGTTTACGCCGGTTGTTAAACAACATCGTTATGGGGAAATGCAAGTCTGCGTCCAAATGGTTGGAAGATAAGGAGGAAGGACAATCAATACTGTATATAGTCATTGTGAGGTAAAGTGTGTCGTCAATGTAACCGGTTAAAACTCGAAGTGGCGATGAGGTCTTAAAATGTATGGAAACGGTCTTAAAAAAGGTCTTAAAAGGTCTTACATTTGACTTCAGGATTCCTGCATATACCCTGCACTAATATACACAAATATGTCTATATACATATTAACCTTGTCCTTCAGTTAAAGACAGTTACAAAAGTGTTTACATTTTATGCTTGGCTCCTTTTATCTTTTAACATGTAAATGTTCATGGTCGTCATAGGATTCATCTATTTCCTGCAAATTGCTGTTGTACACAGTTTCAAAAATGTTTGACTACCTTTTGCTGATGAGCTCCTGTTTCCTCCTCCTCCTCCTCCTCCTCCTCCTCCTNGTTATTAAACTAATACTCCCCGAATGTCTTTCATCTTCTTGTGATATCGGTGATATATTACCGTTACTGTAGGTACGAGCTGCAAACATGTGCATTGGAGATTTGCTGGTGAAAGAGCTGTAATTTCACCTTTCTTTTGTTAGCCTGCAGCAGTGATGCACATGTGTACATCCAGTACAAAGTGGTGAGCAGGGCGAATATTTGTGTGTGTGTGTGTGTGTGTGTGTGTGTGTGTAAGAAGAGTGAGTGTGTGTCTAAATGAGAGACATTAAAGGCTACTGAGAGAATTCAGTTTTGGCTTAAACAATATCCACTAATGTCATTTGTGATACAAGAGCATTTTTAAAAACACTGCTGTAATAGGATTTTGTGATATTATTACCTGTACTTTATAAAGGCTGTACATTTGTAATGAATTCTTTTTTTTACTTATTGTTTAATAGAGCACACAATAGCACCCTCAGATATTGACAGTAGATCCTGCACCAAGATGACGGTAATTATAATCAACTAATAGCCGGCTTTTCACATTATTATCACTTGTCCTTGAGGTAAACATGAATCCGTACAATAAAGCAATGCTTCTTTTTTTAAATGGTGACTTGGCTCCTTTTTGTACAGATGTGTGACAATTTTAAGGATAGAAGCGTATTGACTTGACCTAGTAAGGTGTTGAGCCTCGAGATAAACATCATTGCATTATGTTATTGTTATTTACAGTGGGGCAAAAAAGTATTTAGCCAGCCACCAATTGTGCAAGTTCTCCCACTTAAAAAGATGAGAGAGGCCTGTAATTTTCATCCTAGGTATACCTCAACTATGAGAGACAAAATGAGAAAAAAAAAATCCAGAAAATCCCATTGTCTGATTTTTAAAGAATTTATTTGCAAATTATGGTGGAAAATAAGTATTTAGTCAATAACAAACAAACAAGATTTCTGGCTCTCACAGACCTGTAACTTCTTCTTTAAGAGCCTCCTCTGTCCTCCACTTGTTAACTGTATTAATGGCAACTGTGGCCAAGACCAAAGAGCTGTCAAAGGACACCAGAAACAAAATTGTAGACCTGCACCAGGCTGGGAAGACTGAATCTGCAATAGGTAAGCAGCTTGGTGTGAAGAAATCAACTGCGGGAGCAATTATTAGAAAATGGAAGACATACAAGACCACTGATAATCTCCCTCGATCTGGGGCTCCACGCAAGATCTCACCCCGTGGGGTCAAAATGATCACAAGAACGGTGAGGAAAAATCCCAGAACCACACAGGGGGACCTAGTCAATGACCTGCAGAGAGCTGGGACCAAAGTAACAAAGGCTACCATCAGTAACACACTACGCCGCCAGGGACTCAAATCCTGCAGTGCCAGACGTGTCCCCCTGCTTAAGCCAGTACATGTCCCAGGCCCGTCTGAAGTTTGCTAGAGAGCATTTAGATGATCCAGAAGAGGATTGGGAGAATGTCATATGGTCAGATGAAACCAAAATAGAACTTTTTGGTAAAAGCTCAACTAGACGTGTTTGGAGGAGAAAGAATGCAGAGTTGCATCCAAAGAACACCATACCTACTGTGAAACATGGGGGTGGAAACATCATGCTTTGGGGCTGTTTTTCTGCAAAGGGACCAGGACGACTGATCCGTGTAAAGGAAAGAATGAATGGGGCCATGTATCGTGAGATTTTGAGTGACAACCTCCTTCCATCAGCAAGGGCATTGAAGATGAAACGTGGCTGGGTCTTTCAGCATGACAATGATCCCAAACACACCGCCTGGGCAACGAAGGAGTGGCTTCGTAAGAAGCATTTCAAGGTCCTGGAGTGGCCTAGCCAGTCTCCAGATCTCAACCCCATAGAAAATCTTTGGAGGGAGTTGAAAGTCCGTGTTGCCCAGCGACAGCCCCAAAACATCACTGCTCTAGAGGAGATCTGCATGGAGGAATGGGCCAAAATACCATTAACAGTGTGTGAAAACCTTGTGAAGACTTACAGAAAACGTTTGACCTCTGTCATTGCCAACAAAGGGTATATAACAAAGTATTGAGAGGAACTTTTGTTATTGATCAAATACTTATTTTCCACCATCATTTGCAAATAAATTCTTTAAAAATCAGACAATGTGATTTTCTGGATTTTTTTTTTTTTATCATTTTCTCTCTCATAGTTGAGGTATACCTAGGATGAAAATTACAGGCCTCTCTCATCTTTTTAAGTGGGAGAACTTGCACAATTGGTGGCTGACTAAATACTTTTTTGCCCCACTGTATGCAAAGACGTTCTTTAGCTTAACACTGGATTCCAAAACACATAATCCAATAAATCAAGTAAATGTTTTCCTTTTTAAACCAAAGCACTTTGAAAATGTCGATTAAATAGATTGGTACACTGTGTCTTAACCATATTGAAAAAAACGTCAAATCAGATCCATACTGTATTCGTCTTTTATCTCACCAGGATAAAGTGGCCTCCGCAGCATCCTTCACCCTCATTGAGGCCGGATTGTGCTCCTTCTCCCCTTTATGTCGGACTTCCAGTTCCTGCCGAGACTTACTGCCAGATATTCCCAGCTCCACAATCTCCAACACCTCTACCAGACAATCCTGATGCAAAAAGAGAAAAATGATAAAGAGACAGAACCACAAACAGAGAGTTTTCTTTCCACATAAATGAGGCTAGACGTTAGCATCATTTCTAAATTGTTGATTTGAGAGAAATGGGAATTTTCTGTATGTTTTTGGTGGAAATTAAATCAGGGATTTTTTTATTTAGTCTTCACCTTCTCATCCAGCATGTCGGGGTGTTCTGTGAGCCACACACAGAGAAACTGGAAGGCAGCTACAATCATGGAGTGGAGGTCTCGGGACTGGAGGGGAGCTGGACGGCTGCACTGGTACACGATGTACCCACATATAGAGCTGACGGCCCGCTTACGGTCTGCAGAGTCTACTCCCACCTTCACCTACATAGAAAATACAGGAAAATGTATTACTGAAGCTACAATATAAAATGATTAATGTAATGCACCTGAAACGTTTTTTGTATGCCTTGATGCTTAAGCAATTGTCTGATTATTTGGTACAGTATTTGTTTATTTTTTACAGTATTTATAGAACTAGCATTTTTGCTCATTCGAAATAAAGTCTTAATTTTGCCTTGACCTTTTCTCACCCTGCTCCTCAGCAATCCTAGTTTATGTAACATCAAGTGTCACATGTTTTAATTTACAGCCAATTACTGTCCATTTGAATTATTGTACATGCATTAGGGGTGTTGAAATTAATCGTTTCTACGATGCATCGTGATGTGGACGTGGACGATTCTGCATCGATGCAGGGACAGAACATAGTCGATTATAGCATAGTAACGTTGCTTCCTGATCTTCCGGCCGCGGCTGGACAATAACGTTTTTAGTTATTTTCTGTCACACTAATATCAAATTGGTCGATGACGCAGAGATCAAGGAACAGACGTGACAGCGGCACAGCGACACCACACACGGAGCAGTCTGCTTTCTCCACCAAGACCAGTCCAGAACCAACAGCAGAATGACCGCTCTGAATCAGGCCCTGTCGCTGCGGCTCAGAGACAAAGGGAGGGATTTGTGTTTTTTGAAAAACACTTGTTATCATCATGTTCACACACAGATATAGGGAGGCTAGAGTTATACAATTGGTTTACTTTGTTTATAAATTAATGTCAAGACATTTATGTTATTGATTTCTGAAGCACTTTCTAAATAATAAAAAAGGGAATTCATATTTATCTTACTGCATGTATTCATTGATGAAAGAGAAGCCATGTGCAGTAATATAGAAAATTGAGGATGCAACGCATTGTTATGCATCGTGATGCATCGGGATATCGAATCGAAGACAGGATAATCGTAATCGAATCGTGAGACCAGTGAAGATGCACAGCCCTAACATACATACAGAAGAGTGGTGCGCTAGCTAACTGGGACCATTAACCAGAGAAATTGTCGGGTTCTATCCAGAAACTTCTCTCCTTCTGGTAATTGTGGTACTGTGTTGGGCAAGTCCCTTGTGAGGAAGTTAGAAATGTCTGACATGACATGAACCCCCTGAACGCACCATTATGTTTATTCTGCTTGGCTAGATTGTCTCGTTTGAGCGGCGGGTGCACCGGCTAATTTGAACAAGGAGTAAAGATCAAGTGGCAGAAAACATGTCCGTTTCTATAGTAACAGGCACATACTTTTATTAAATCAGATTTGATTAAAAAGAGGTTTCACTGTAAGCCTTGAGGTTAAAGCAAAACAAATACAGGTTACTCCTGTCAAACAGCTATTGTTATTCAAATAGAGTGTTGGTGTAGAGATCATTTTGGTTATGTCCAAAATAAAAACGTTTTTACATTGTTTTAATGGGTGCTACTTCACAACTTTTATACATTTACCTACTTCATAATGCTGCTTCTAATTAAAAAAAAATGTACAACGGATGTGTCATTTTTAACAACCTACATTTCCCAATTCTGACGAAGGAGGGCTCAGTCTGTAGGGACTTGGCTCGGGAGGGGTCCCCGGTTCAGTACAGAGCGTTGACTGGTTGCTGGAGAGGTGCAAGTTCGCCTGCTGGGTACTGCGGAGGTGTCCTTGAGCAAGGCACTGAACCATGGAAGCCCCTTGGCCCTGATACCTCTCCACTAATGCATGGGTATAGGTCCTGTTTGTGCATGTGTGCTTGTGCATATTTTGGGTCTATGTGTGTGATAAACAGTAAATAACACCAAAACCCAAAAACGTATGACTTATCTTATTCAATAAAGGATTTCTGAAACTGATTGTTGAAACATTGGTGATCTGAATTACATCCACCATTCCCCCCCTGGCCTGCCAGCTAGTAATGCTCTCAGATTGTTACACTGCAGTGTACTGACGTTGTGCCTTTACCTTGGCTAGCCCCGCCAGCAGCTCCAGTGCAGCCAGTGAGATGCTCATGTCCTGCCTCCACTGGGAGTTGAGTCTCTGGGTGACCAGGTGGATGCTGCGCACCAGCAGGCCCGCCGCCGTATCTGCAAGAGCTAGACCATGTAAGACCCGGAAATACCAAACACCGCGAAGAGTAGAGCAAAGCAAGAGTCAGGCAACGCAGTTTGAGGCAAACAGGACAACAGCAAAAAAATGCCTTGGTATTAGTTTTTTAAACATGCATTAGGAGTAGAGTTGAAAGCACATACAAAAATACAGGCATATTAGAGGTAGATAAAACGCTGAGAATTAGGGCTGAGCAATCAAGTTTTGACTTTAAAAGAATCATAAACTTTGTCTGTGATATATTCTTCCAAAACTGACTTTATTAATAAAGTACATGCATACACATTCTATATAACGCACTACAGGAAAGGGAAAACCCCCCCAAAAGCATAAAAGGGCCATTTCAAAATTGTTTTTTTAACAATAATAACAAAATGTTGACCTGAAATGTAAAAAGAAAACAAAAAAAGCATCAACAACTGGAAGTTACACAGCCTTAAGTAAAGGATGTGACACAAGTAGAATGATCTCTTTCCATAACCTCCACAGTAACTATTGGCGATGGTGATGCTTTGAAATGTAATTGCATGAGGCTTCTGTATAAAACTTGAGTAAGATTTACATCTGGTTTTATTGTTTGTTGAGCAAAAGAATCCCAAATCATGCTGAATTGGCTGCAGTTGTCTTCAAACCCCCTCCCTCTCTCAAGTCTTGCTGCTTCCTGTCCTGCACCGGGCCTCAGAAATAACAATGAGACAGGAACAACGGGAAACCCCCCCCTCCCCTCCAGCTTCCTGCTGAACAGAGTTGCCCATGATCAGCAGTGTTCAGTAACAAGTTGTGGGCAAAAATGCAACAAGAAGAACATATTCTTTAGTCAAACATCACTCAGCCCTACGGAAGAAAACGAGAAAATCCTCCCATCACTCAGAGAAAAAAAAATGCATTTAGCTCAAAAGAATCTGCAAAACAGCACAGCATCACGGCAAATCACTTTGGTATTACCTACAGAGACTTTTTACCCAACGCTTCTTAACTCTGCATACCACTTTAACCACGTTAGCTATGAGGAACAAATGTGTTAACATGTTTTGCAGGGGAAAAAAAGCAGGTACCGATAACAATCACATAATATTCCAGCCTCCAGTTATGCACCATCCATCTAAAGGGTTAATTCAGCGAGCAGGAGGAAGGATATTAGTTTAGTGGCTGCGTGTCTTACCGTAGTCTCGCAGCAGGGCCTGGCCAGGTCTCTCAGAGTCGGGGCTGGTGGCCTCCGTGCTCCCCCCGCTGTTGAAGCTGATGCCGCTGTTGGTGCGGCTGTGACTGTGACTCCTCACCGCCATGTGGCTCCCGTCTATGCTTCCCTGTAAACACAAAAACACAGCTATCTTCAAGTCCCCGACGCTGCTTCTGGCGTTATAAAAAGTTAATCGTTCATCCGAGCCTTACCGTTTCAGTCTGTGCACCTATTGACTCCAGCAGTGCAGAGTCTTGAACAATGTTTAGCATTGCACCTGAGGGGAGGTGAATTATTAAACAGTGCATAGAGTAAAAGGCCATTCATTTACCTTTTACGGAAAAATATGGACTTGTTAAAATACCATTTTGATTAAAGTATTGTAGTGCAGCAGAGAAATTCTGGCCTGCAAATAGTTTTCTACTGATTCAAGAAAACATTTTTGGTACAGATCCTCTTAACAAATAAGCACACCTCGATTGCTTTGATAACATTTCAATTATAATGAGAATATGCAAAAATGATCAATCCCTCCAATATGGTGAAAGATATCGCAATTTCAATATCACTCAAAATAAATCGCAATTTTTCCGAATTGTGCAGCCCTAATGTTAACACAGTTCTAAGTCACATGTCCTTTGGCTGACTACAGGGACACTGTGGCATGTTCTCTGCAGGGAGTAGAAATCTAAAAATGTACCCCCTAAAACAAACATGTCCATTAAGTCAATCAAAATAAGAACAAGTAGAAGCAAAATAAGTAGATCAGATACCCAGGATGAGCTGTGTGTTGGTGGGGTCCGTCTCAGTCTGAAGGGCTCCTATGAGGACATTGACGAGACGCAGCCGCAGGGACAGGAAAGACACGGGCTGGTCATGTGGCCACCCATCCTCCTCGTTGAACTTTCCTTCCAACAGAACCTGAAGCACAAAATCAACATAGTAGGGAATAAAGCTGCACAATGAATTTGCAATATGGACTTGTGCATTATTCAAGCCGCAGTCAGCACAATATTTGGCTAAATATATGTTAAAATATAACATATCAAGGACTACAAATCGCATTTTCTACAAACTTAAAACATATTTGTTTGGTACAGTTCCTCTATATAAAAAAAATCTGATCATTTAAATATATTTTTCAATGATAATGAGATTCATGAATCAAAAATTATAAATCCGTTCTATATTAAAAATCATATTAACTTGCACATTTGTGGAAAATAATTGCCATGAGTCCCTTTTTCCAAATCAACAACCCCTAGTAGAAATCGGAGTACAAGTGGCTTTATGGTGCAGAAAATGCTTCAACAAAGATTAAATAAGCGAAGGCAATGACATTAAATGATTCAATTAACTAATGAATTAACTAAAATGCACAGAAACTAAAGCCGTACCTCTGATTTGATGTTGCCAAAATGATGCGGCAAAGACAGCATGGCAAGCAGGATGTTGATGGAGGCTCTCCGCAGGTCGGTGGGATTTACGTACATCTTGAATTTGGACAGTTCCCTGTCAACAGGAAAACAAATATCATGGGCTTCAAGAAACTTAAGACAATATTCTCCAAACGTCATACATAGGGATGGGTATCGTTAAGGATTTAACGGTACTACTACTTTTATCGATACCGCTTATCGGTCCGGTCTTTTAACGGTATTCTTATCGGTTCTTTTGGAGAAAAAAACATGGTAAACTAACTAAACAAATTGTGAACAAAACTAACAGTGCTTCTTTATTTAAATTAAATAAATAATATTTCACATCAAAAGAAACAACAATGCTTTAAAAAAATCGTATTAAATAATCTAATGACAGAATAGCTGAAACTTTAACAAACTAAATAACTCAGTTACCTCTAATCATTAACCCATGTTTGTATAATGTAGTTAACTCTGTGTGTTGCTGCTAGCATAAGTAATACCTGACGTGGAAAAGTTACTCGTGGATGGGGCTACAGCGCTTCTAGAAAGAGACTCGAACCCGGTGCATTTCTCCATCTGAATGTGGTGCACTTTTGCTCATGTTACCGCCCTTACATGCTAAACTCTTATTACACTTTTGGTAACGAGCATTGTCCACATCGAGACGGGTAAAGTTTAACCACACCTTGGAGCGCGTTCTCTCGGCCATCTCCTCCGTGTGTGTGTTGCTGCATGTAGCAGCTGCGTGTGTGTAAACTGCCCCGCCCCCTCCCAAGCAGGCGGGAGAGAGAGAGATCTCTCGACTCGATTGGAAAGATTGAAAATACTAAAAATAATCATAGACGCATTTTAAAGTCTTATTGCATATTAGAAACGGAGTTGGCGACACTAAAACTGCAATATAATGTTCGTGTAGCAATAAAACATATGACATATTTTTTACATGTCTCCAGTACCGATAAAAAGACCGATAACGTCGGAGCTTAACGGTACCACGTTCTTTAATAATTCAGCCCCGGGGCCCGTTTAATACCGGGGCTCGGTACCCATCCCTAGTCATACAGTTACATAGTAAATAAAATATGCTTATTACATGAAAGAAAAACCAGTCTGACCTGTCGGGTACAATAGTCTCCAGGGCAGCTATAAAGTAGGGCACCAGCACGTTGATGCCTTTCAGGTCGGAGCAGAACAGAGAGGAAGAGTTGAGGATGATAGAAGCCAGAACTGGTCTGCAGATAAAATCTGAGATCTGGAGACCCTGAATCAGGACCATGTAGAACCTGCATAAAAAAAAGAGGAGTATAGTTTTGCAGTTTAATATCTTCTTAGCAGTTGAAAAGGCACTAATCCCATGCTGAAACTAGTTTAAAAGAAAATGTGGCATATTAAAAAAAGAAAAATTGCAACTTGCACAGAAGAAATATGCAAGTATATGCAGTATTTCATGTAAAGGTTTTTTTTTATTAAAATATCTGTTTTCCCCTTTCAATAACCCTAAAACAATTTGTACATATTGCACTGAAACTATACTCATTGGATTGGATTCCAGTTTTAATATATATTTTTTTACATTCTACGTTCACATAATAATAATCTCTTTCTTTATATAGTAACTTAAGTATCTATTTTTTTATATATTTATTCTTAGTAAAACATTGGTCTATTAGTTTATTCTAAATTATTCTGTATATTTTATATTCCACAAATACCATAGATATTTATATTGTTGATATTTCTATATTTATTGTTAAATTTCATTTTATTATAGTTGTAACTAATGTGCAGTGCCTTGTTAGTATGCTGCTGTAACACATTTGTATAAAGTCTCTACTGTATTCTATAATAAAACTAATTGTCTACGTTACCTGGAAAGGTAAACTGGCAGAATGTCTTCTCCGGTCTTCTTGCTACAGAAGATGCGGCAGAGCGTCCCACAGGCCTCCGCCCGCCCTGCCTCGTAGCTCTCTGGGAACTCGTTGGCGTCGAACATGGGGTTGGACACCATGGAGTCGGTGGACATTTGGGAACCCTTCCTTCTCAGCTCCAGACCTACTTGAGTGGCTATCGCTGTATAAAGTGAGGAGAAAGAGAGCATGAAAGGACCCTGAATTGTAAATGTGGTCATGAGCACACATGCATGTATGAGAAACAAGGCAAACATGTAGCTACTTTACGCACAATACAATAAAAAAAAAAAGGTAAAATGAAGAAAAAGCAGACATTTAAATCGCTATCACAAGAGAGAACCACTCACTTCATTTGAAAGCATTCAAAAGGGAACTCTGACACAAAGAGCTTACCACCTATTGCTGGCACAAAGTGTGACCAAGTGTAACATGCTGGTAATAAAGATACAAATAAAATTGCAAGGCCACAAAAAGCAAAATCCCTGTGTCAGCTTCCCTCGCTGTTGCAATTTGATGACTCAGGTACAGATCATTCACTTCATGCATTGAGGCACCAAACCGATCAAATCATAACTCAAGTGATAATACAAAAAGGAAAAATTATATAAAATAAATGCTGAACCTGAGGAGGGTCTGACACTAAATAATAAGGATTAGTGTGACACAAAAAAAAAAGAAATGAGAAAAAAACATGATGGCGTTGTCACAAACTGGCAACGTTATGGTTGAGACAAGTGGTCAGTTGGTGAAACCCATTCCATCACCTTTGGAGAAACGCTGAGATAACGCTGATGAAAAGTTTACATATATATATTATATACATATATATATATATATGACAAGCAGTGGGAACGGAAAACAATGGGCGATAATAATGGCGATGGATCATGAGGAACTTAACTGAAAAGCAGGAAGAACTGTCAACGAAACGCAAATCAAGTGAGGAAAAAAAAAGAGCTGCCGTTCCTACTTACAAGATTTATAAGAAAGGAGAATTTGGATAAAAGAGGCTGCAAGATAACAGAAATAGTGGAGAGACACAAAATCAAAGCATATCCAATATTTTGGGGTGAATTCATATCACGCATGAATTGTGTTTTTCTCCTCAATACATGACTTTTGACCTATTACAACTCTTCATCAGACATGGTAGACACATGCAGGACACCAAAAAGAGAAAAATAAATGGATTTAATAAAAGCCAAATTTCTATTCAAATACAATGTATGTACGGGCTGAGATTGATCCTGTAGCAACGATTTTACCAATAAAATAACAGTAAAAATTCATTAGCATATGGTTATAATCTATATAAGCCAGGTTTAAATAGTCGGTGGATGTAAATGGATCAGAATCAGATGGAAATCTCATACTAGGCCACTTCTAACCAAGCCCTCCACACACAGAAGTTACAGAGAAAATGGTGAGAAAAAAAAGAAAAGGATAGGATATCCCAACGCCATACAGTAAAAAAAAGAAAAAGAAAAAACAGACACTTAAAAAACGAATATAACTCCACAGAAACATGTACTAATGAACAGCGACGAGACACCCACCTGACCATGCATTAATGTAACGCTATTAACCATCGGCTGGCTTCTTACCGGTCATGCTGGGGTCTCTGCTGAGGCCGCTGTGGAGCTTACAGTGGACCAGGGCCGCGTCGAAGAGCCACTGGCCGAACAGGTTGAGGATGCTGTTGACTTTGGGACGTGCCGGGGCGGGCAGGGGCCGAGACTCCCAGCTGCTCTGGTTGGGGCTGGAGAGCAGCGTCGGGGAGGAGGACGTCTGCTGCTGCTGCTGCTGCTGCTGCTGGGACCCTTTGGTTGGTTGACTGCCACTGCCCTGCAGAGGGGGAGAGGGACATTTGATTAGGCTACAAAAAAAGATTAGTTCAGTTGTGCCTGCTACTGACATTTTTTATTTCCTTTGGTTAAAAAGTTGTCTGGGCTTTCTTTGGCACTAATCTGAAGAATGGGTTAGGGTAAAGGATTTGTGCTGTTTTTTCTTTATATTTGAATTTCTAATATTTCTAATATTGTCATATTACAAAGACTAAATATTGTATGATAAAAAGTTGAGATTTATTTTTACAATCAACACCTGAAATGATGACGGCCTTTATAAAAAATCAAGGTAGTACAAGTGTAATATCAAAGTTATGTCAGTTTTTCAGAAAGGACATATTTAAATAACAAAATTATAGCATTTTTCTAATTATGTTTCTATAAACAAATCCTGATTTTGAGTATGTTCCCAACACGTTGTGGACTTTAGACCAATTGAAACATGTGTTGTAGCATTTTTCGCATCTATTTAAATGTATTTCTTTAAAACAAATATGTAAAAATATGTAAACCTGACATAACAAACACACTAGCGTAGTGTGTCTAGTAGATCTGTCTGTAGATCAGCCATTAATTATGTCACAAGAATAACATAAACTGACCGTTGAACTCTTGCTCGTGGTTTTGGTGACCACTGTATGCCGTTGCTTGCGGCTGTGGGGGGGGGTGGTGTTGGTGATGGAGGGGGGCGGAGACATGCTCATTCTGTTGACCGGGGTGGGCGGGGCACTGTCAGATCTGGGACGTGATATACCTGTGGACAGGAAGTAAAAATCAGCTGGGATATCAAGTTCCTGTTTTTCCCTCCATTTCTGATTAGCAATACTTCCACTTGTTCGGTGGACAGAACTTGTTAAAATAAATAATTTAAAGCCATTTTACCCATTTCAAATGTTATGACCGATCAAAAGACAGAACTCATTGGTTGACATGCAAGACAATGGTTAGATGCAAATCAGAAATCATTGACATCCATCCATTTGATTGACTTTTTGCCCCTTGTTGATGATCTTGTAAGTTAATCCGAATGCCAGGAACATTTCATTTGAGTTGTTAATACCAGCACCACCGGTAATAGACTCCATCATATGCCCATCTCATTATATGATGTATCAACGGGTGTGGGTACCATGAGAGTGCAGCACTGGAGAAAAAGTGAACACCCTCTCCCGTACATCTTTCTTTTCAACAGAGACACCTACAGTGTGAGGAGAAAAATCACATTTTCTTTTCAAATCTTTAAACATGTAATACCGATGGACTTCCTCCATCAGGATTTTACTCGGGAGTAGGCTACTGCCAGGTGTAAAAACTAGAAAGGAGCAAAGCTGTTAAAAGAAAATAAATAGCTGTCAATCTTTTAAATCTATTTTTCTTTTTGATTTTGTGTGTATTTTTCTACTGTCCAGTAGGGCTGCATGATTTGGGAAAAAAATTACTTATCTTTTGACTTTTACTTATTTTCACTGATATTGCAATTGAGATAAGCCATATTAGCGGGGTTGATCACTTATGGAATATAATTCACAATATCATTAAAAAATCCATTAAAATTATCACATGATGCTTTTTTCCAAAATAAGGTTTTTTTTATGAGGTCCATAGAATTTATTTTGTGGTTTGGACTTAGATTTTAAATAATATTTTAGTTGTATTAAACATTAGACGTATTGCTAAGTCAAAATTGCAATTTGGATACATTTTAGATTGTTTGTGCAGCCCTACCGTCCAGCCATGATTGACATTATTGACTTTGTTACAGTATGAAACATTTTTTTAAATCAATTTTAAAATAGGTTGTAATCATAAAAAAAATTCTACGTCTACTTGATGTTTTTGTTAAAGTATGAGTATTTTGCATGAAGTTAGGATGAACACATAAACAAATCTTAATCTTAACATGGTTTGTAGTGCCTTAGAAAGAAGGTGCACAAATCACAGCTTGACTGTCCCATGACTGAGCTTTTCATTCGAAAGTCTTTACCTAAGAATGCATCCACTAAGCAGCTGATGCCCCTCATGGCCCTGAAGAAGATCTGGGGCAGCTGTTTCAAACATGGATGCAGCACCACTTCATGAGGGATGCCGCTGGAGTTTAGAAACTGTTCCTGAAACTTCGGAGTGGTGCTCACTATCGCAGGGTTGCTCAGGTCCACTGGGTTGCTGGAAACAAAACAAAAAAGGAAATTCAAGGAGAAATAAAAAGCTAACAGACAGCTGCTAAAGCTCATTGGACATTTAAAAAAGTATTCTCTAAACTACTGAAAACATATCTCCCAAATGTAAGTAAAACTATTGTCATAAATCTTGGCTAATAGCTCCCCTCAACTTAACTCAAGATAATGACCTTTGTATTACCAACTGCTGTCTGCTTTTTATGCTGTTGTTTCTTGTGATTGACATTTCTGGCGGTGGACACTAATGATGTATTCTATTCCTATTTTAGCACCTTAACATGTGGAGGAAGCGGTACCACGTCTGAGCCACACAGTCGTTGTCCATCTCTAAAGGGATCAGGCTGGCATCTTCATCGGGAACTTTAAAGGGCGGGAAGGATGGTCCATGTGTAAAGCGCAAGAGCCTGGGTAGAAGAAATGATACAGGAATATGCAGATTATCACACACAGCTAAGGACACTTTTTTATTTAATTATTGGTCACAAACAAAACTCCTTTTCAGGAACAAACTGTATGAAACCATTTTCGGCTCTAAATCCTAGATTAAGTTGATGGCTATCTAACCTGGAGGTGAGGGCACAGGCCACTCTGCTCCACTGCTCTACAACCGGGGGGTGGTGTCTCCAGTTGGCCAGCATTTCCTTCGCTGTCTTCCAATATGGTGGCGTGGGAAAGCAGCGAGCGCACGCCAGTAGCCACACCTCGAACAGCACCGCCATCAGTTTCTCTGCTAGTTTCTCAGCAACGCCAACTGATTGATACAAGGAGATTATTGATGTAAGTCATCATCATTAGCACACAGCTTAGTTGAATAATTGATTCTGATTAGACAATTTGGACATTCAGCGGTCTGCTCTTTTTCTATACAGTAGCAGAACGTTGATCATGACGCTTTGATCAATTTGCAAAAGGAAGTCCCGTCAATTTAACATCAGCTGTGGCCCAACAAAACCCATTAGTTTAACTCCATCAGAAAACACTGTTGATTTTTTAAAACACAAAACTTTTTATTCATGATAGCTAAACTGTCCCCAGTGAAGAAAAGACAAAAAGAGAAGAAGAGACAGCAAGAGAAGGAAAGGGGTTAAAGACACAGAGCTCTAGACGTCAACAGAACAAATCAACAGAAGAAAACAGAGAGGAAGTAAACACCAAAAGTAACACGGTATGTGCTCTTCCATTGTTTAATTCAATTGTGTGTCATCAGCCTAACTGTTATATTATACATTATAATGGGTTATTATGTAGAGGGAGCATTTATAACGAAAAAAATAATAGGACCCAGAATGCTTCCTTGCGGAACTCCATATTCAATATCCAATGTTTGTGAAACAAAGTCTCCCAAACGTACAAAAGATGTCCTTTCTGACATTGAAAGTAAGTAGCCGTGTAATGAGCGGAATGATGCGTAGCGAGCCAGTCATTAATCCCTCCCGGCACATTATCCAGGGCTCGAGCTTAAGGACGTCCCATCATCGAAAAAAATAGTGTCAGGGAGGATAAAAAATAATTTTGGGACGAATTTGGGACGAGAGTTAAAATAAAAATACCCTGCTAACTCTACTACAAACGGCGATGAAAATGAAACCGACTGCACGTTTTGTGTAGCACAGTTATTAAACCTCCTTGTCAACATAAATACACACACGCACAGAACATTTAGCAACCCGCGAAATACACACTAATGTCTGGTTCAACAGCAGTGCTTTGTGAGCTGAGACCCCTCCACACACACACACACACACACACACACACACACACACACACACACACACACACACACACACACACACACACACACACACACACACACACACACACACACACACACGTGAATTCCTGGCCCGCAAATTCGCGGGTCTAGCTATGTACTGAGTGTGTGTATTTCGCAGGTTGAGTGATGTACAATGAC